TGTTTCGTCTCTAAATATCTGGATAATTAATACAAATCCCTGATAACTGAAGCAGCTGTGCTCAGTATCGGTGCTGAAGACCCACAGTGGTAGGCTGCTTATATTGTGGAGTCTCAGGCTCTTTTGCTGGCCGTGTATGAACACAGACAGCAGCAGTGCTGATGTTAGCAGGCAAAAACCAGCATGTGGCAAAATGTCTTAGAAATGGGACAGTGAAATAAATACTTCAGCTCACTCATTAGCCAAGTTAACAAAGAAAAGCTCACTGAATCCAGGAATTGTGCCTGGAACAGAGGGATTAAACAACAGATAACGTTGGAATGATACTAAGCAAAAACTACATTAAAAAGTCAGCCTTTTTGGCCTATTTAATTCAGATAAGTGCTAGTTGGCAATGTCACCAAGGAAGGAGAATAACAAAGAAACTAATAAATTAATGTTGCTTCCCACAACACCTAAAGTCAGTAATAAAAACAGGATATAAAGGAAAAAAGGGGGCAGAACCTCTGTGGTTGCTGAATTTATGGTGAATGCTATTTAAACAGGTTTCACTGTGTAGGTCTCTGTAGATACAGTAACTCACATATAGCTTTTGGTAAAACGTCAACTTTTTTGTGTGGTGCTGCCTGATTCTCTAAGAACTTGATGAGTTTCTTTGAGAGAAAAGCAGCAGCCCAATCTAGCTCAGCTGTACTCAATCTGAGTTGCTTTCCTACCTACAAACCCTCACTTCAAAGCAAAGAACATAATGTACAATTTTTTAATGGCTCTAGACCCAGGCACTCAGACTTTCTGCTCCGCGCCTTACCTCAGTGTAAACACCTAATCAAGATGGCCTGCGCTTCAACAATAGCAGCCAAATGCAATTCGAGAACCACAAGCCTTTGAAGTCCTCCCTGCAAAGGCCGGTTTTCTAGTCCGGGATAATGACATGCCATGATTGCTGTCTTTGTTGTATCTTTTCAGTAGAGAAGCAATTATAGGCCCCAATTTAACAGAATAGACATTACACAGCTTATGATGCTCAAAATGCAATTTCATTTGATCATTTTCTCAATTTGATTGGTATTAATAGAATGGTTCACAAAAAATAAAAAAATAGCTGACAGAGGTTGTGTCCCATTCCACTTTCAAAGAGGTAGTGTAGAAGTATGCCTTACTTGCTCACAGACTCTCGCTGGGTTGATTCAGTCACTGAGTTCCACCAAAACAGCCTGTGCATGGAAATATTGTATATCCTACTTTCCTGGGCAAAGGAAGCATCGTTGTTGTTGTTAGCTGCCGTCCAGTCGACCCCCGACTCATGACGACCCCGCGTGTGACAGAGTAGAACTGTGCTTCATAGGGCTTTCTTGGCTGTAATCTTTATGGAAGCAGATCGCCAGGCCTTTCTACTACGGTGCTGCTGTGTGCGTTCAAACCGCCAACCTTTAGGTTAGTCAAGTACAAATGATTTGCACCACTCAGGGACCTAAAGGAAACAGGAGAGTGTTTTTGTTTTTGTTTTTTTAAATTGTGCCTTAAGTGAAAGTTTACAGAGAAAATTAGTTTCTCATTCAAAAATTTACACACAAATTGTTTCTTGACACTGCTTACAATCCTGCATTGTTTCAGCACTCTCCCCCTTTCACTTTCCACCCTGGGTTACTCAGTTCCATTCCTCCAGTTTTCCTGTCCCTTCCCGCCTTCTCATCTTTGTTTTTGGGCAAGTGTTGCCCATTTGATCTCATATACTTGATTTACCTAAGAAGCCCATTCCTCACGTGTGTTATTGTTTGTTTTATAGGCCTGCCTAATCTTTGACTGAAAGGTGAACTTCAGGAATGGCTTCAATTCTGAGTCAGAAGGGTGTCTGGGGACCATAGTCTCGGGGGTTCCTCCAGTCTCTGTCAGACCAGTATTTCTGGTCTTTTTTTGTGAATTTGAACTTTTGTTCTATATTTTTCTCCTACTCTGGGACCCCCTATTGTACTCCCAGAGAGATCCGTAATGGTAGCTGAGCACCATCTAGTTCTTCCGGTCTCGGGGTCACACAGGTAGGCTGTGGTTCATGTGGTCCATTAGTCCTTTAGATTAATTGCTCCCTTGAGCATCTTTTGTTTTTTTCACTCTCCTTTGCTCTGGACTAGAAGAGACTGATAGTTGTATCTTAGATGGCCACTCACAAGCTTTTAAGACCCCAGACACTACTCACCAAAGTAGATGTAGAACACTGTCTTTAAGAACTATGTTGTGCCAGCAGTCCAGGGACAAAGACTAGAAGGCAGGAGGAGACAGGAAAGCTGGTGATAGGGAACTCAAGGTTGAGAAGGACAGTGTTGACATGCCGTGGGGTTGTTAACCATTGCCATAGGGCAATATGTGTACTAACTCTTTAATGAGAAACTATTTGTTCTGCAAACCTGCATCTAAGGTACAAAAAAAAAAAAAAAAAAGAATTATCTATGTGAGATCAAATTGACAACAGCAACTCAAAAGTTTTGATGGGAAGCCTAGGGGCAGTGAGTTGAAGATAATGGTGATGGAATAATCTGGAAAAGGATAGTGAGAATAGCAGCACAACTGGAAGAATATAATCGACATCACTGAATTTTACATGAAAAAAATTTGAAATGTTATAACTTTGGCTATGTATATTTTCACCAAAAAGAAAAAAAAAAGGTCCTCCAAGGTCGAGAAGTGAGAGTGTTGACATGTCATAGGGTTGTTAACCAATGTCATAAAACAATATATGTACTGACTGTTTAATGAGAAACTATTTGTTCTGTAAACCGTCATATAAAGTACCATAAAAAGAAAAGAACTATGTTGTGCCAATTGACGTAGATGTCCCCTGAGTCTATGATCTTTGCCTTCAAGCCTGGAAACTTCATCCTGTCAGGTGTTTAGCTATATCTACGAGGTTTCCCCGACTGCCACTTGTGTGCTGTATTGTCTATATTAACATATGAGGAGCACCTACAGTCATGTATTTAGAAATTTCCACCATGGAACCTGTATCTGCCAGTGGGTGTGCTCCCTTACACCATCCCTCACCTCTTGGCATATCTATCTATCTATCTATTCATTTATAGATTATCGTTTCTTCTATTGTTGCAGGATTGTCTATTCTGTAGCAGTTACCATAAACCCATTCCAAACCCATTGCGGTCGAGTTGATTCTGACTCATAGCAACCCTATAGCAACTCTATAGGACAGAGTAAAACTGCCCCATAGGGTTTCCAAGGAGTGGCTGGTGGATTCGAACTGCCAGCCTTTTGGTTAGCAGCCGAGCTCTTAACCACTTCACCACCAGAGCTCCAGTAGTTGACCATAGTTGTCCTTTATTCCTGTGTTCCTCTCAGTGTCCTCTCTTGGCTTGGTCATATTGTGCTGACTTCTCCCATATTGTGTATTGTCTTTCTCTTCACCAATATTATAAACACGTGTCTACTATCTCTTTGGTAATTTTCCCTCCCTCCCCTTTCCATCCCTGGTAACCATCAAAGAGTTTTTTTAAAATTTTTCCTGTGTGTAAACTTTCTGTTGTTACTATATAAAGGATAGTGTATTTTTAATTTATAAACTTTTTAGCACAGTTTATAAGAGATTCCATCATCCTCAGTCAAATAATATCACTAGTGAAAAACTGAATTTACTAAACCAAGTGCGCTTTACTTCACTCAGCTTTTACAAAAGTCAGAGAATCAAACATCCTAGTGGCAGGCCTATGAAAGAGCTCCACTTTTCTTTCTCCCAGACTCCAGTTCCCCAGAGCCATCACCTCTTCAAGGTTTGAAGAAGGATTATTATTTCCTTGCCTGCTTAGGCAGCCTATGTAGATTTTTATTCCCTTGACCTTGCATTTCTCCTCCGGGACAGATGAGTTGTTTTCTTTTTAACATCATGGTAGTAAGAGATGGAAACCTGTGCAATAATGATGACAAATGCTGTCCTTTTATAGTCATCTAGTGTTTCTTGAACCAGCACTGTGTGAGGGGTGGGAAATGGCAACATGGGTGCTGGTTGCTGTCCTGGAGCAGCAGCATTTGGAGTTCAACTACAAGCTCAGTGGCCTTATGGTATTGTGAAGTTTTCCATTTGTACAATCATCATCCAAACCTTGTTGCTTCTTTCCATTTGTAATCAGAAAAATTCCGTGAACAAATAGTGCATTTTCTTCCTCATATAAGCAGTGAAAATTCAAGTACAAAACATAAGTTTTCTTTTCATTCTTTCCCATTTTCAGATCAACCTTTAAGTTTTTAAACTTCCATACCACCTATTTGCCTCATCTGTGTATATGATCACAATAATCATGACAGTGAGAGATAGGTAAAGATAAGATTATACCTAAAATAAAATAAACAAAAAGCTGTTTCTCTTATGCCATGGGAGCCACATTAAGTTGTAAGATATGAGGTCACATCCTTGTCAAATATTTACTTATTACTTATTTTTTAACAAATATTTTTGCCTCTTTCTGTACTGAATATTAGTCTACATAAGTATAAGTAAAAGTAAGCAGCAGAAAGAATTTGAACACAAACATGACAGATTCTAAATCCCATGTTCTCTCCATTGTTAGAAATTGCTCCTTCTCATACTACACAGCCCACCAAAGGATGTGTAGGAAAACAAGTGTAAAGTCTTGAATCTAAATTTAAAAGTTAATTACATGAGTTTAAACATAACAGCATTTATAGGTGATAAACCAAAGAGTGGCCAGAGGAGCCAAACCTAAGTAACGTGTCACAGGAGGAATGTCAAAGAAATTTGAGATGGTTCTTCTAAATAAGAGAAGGCTTAGGAGAGAAGTCTTAGTCAGCTTCAAATGTTTAGCGCTGTTGTCTGCGAGAGGGATTGACTTACTCTCATTCCAGAGGGCAGAGGGCTAGAAGTTGCAGGAAGTTATATTTCTGTTCGTATAAGGAAGAGCTTCTTAACATTTAGGTTGCTCAGTGATGGGATATGTTCAGCCATGAAACAGAGATTAAAAGACCTAATATTTTACTTCAAGGGATGGTTGAAAGGACCAGGTGTCCCACGGAAAGAGAAGCTGTATCCTTTCCTCCCCCTCAACCCACAGAAGATCTCTAAACATCCTAAGACCGACAAACAGGTAACTCCCACCAAGAGAAGGGGCATGTATTCAGGCTGAGAGCAGATGAATGTCTACCAGAGATGGTATAGAAGTGCTGGAGGTTGAACTAGACTACATCCTGAATCTTTTCCAACATTAAAATTCTGTAACTTTAAGTTTGCTTTTGGAAATGTAACCTGATGGCTAGAATTCCATGTACCACAGAAATGATTGCACTTCTTGATTTAAAACAGGTAGCCAGCTGAGCCATTGGAGGGCTCTTGAATAATCTGGGGGCCTGAATCCCATGTAGCTGCCTTCATCGGTGGTTCCCAAACCTGGCTGCAGATTTTAGACGCCTAGAATTGACTTGACGGCAATGGGTTTGGGTTTTTTGTTTGTTTGTTTTGGGGGGTCAAAAGTATACTCATATCTGTGGTGGCACCAGGGCATTAGTATTTTTTAAAAGTTTCGCAGGTTATTCTAATGGATAATTAAAATTGAGAGCCACTGATCTACATAGTTCAAATTTACTAAATACAAAACTACAATCCAGCAATTCAAGGATAAGAATGTTTCTAACAAGTGAGTTAGTTTAGCAAAATCATTCAGTGTTCAGGCTCTGCAGTCAGACTGCAGGGTTGCTCTGCTTACCAGCTGTTAATACTGCGTAAATTACTTAACCTCTCTATACCTCAGTTTTCTCATTTGCAAAAAAGGGATAATAATAGTACATACTTCATGAAGTTGTTGTCAAGGCTAACTGATATGTTACTTGCTAAGTGCTTAGGACAGCTACTGGCACACCATAAAAATTCAGTATATGTTAAATATTGCTGTTGCTATTGTTGTTGTTGTCATAACCCTGGAATATAGTGTTGTTCCATCATGTTTCTATTTCTTCAAATGTTAGTTGCATCATCCAGTCCAGGTAACTGTTCTGAGCTCGGGTCCCCTTATTATTTAAATAAATTAGTAGTTTAACCTCGAAGCGTCAATTCTCACATCATGCCTGCAAGAGAAAACACTGTTTATTCCCATTTTCCTTGGGAACAATCCAGGGCCCTGAGGACTGAAGAGCTGAATCCTTGAAATTAACTGACAATAAACCCTAGCCCTGTAGGACCTCTTTCTAGAGTACATAGACTTGAACCTCATGGCTCTTAAGACTAAAATGAATCCAGTTAACATGTTATATATGTTTTACCCTCTTAGATCTCCTACCCCATCAGAGTAACTGACAAGACACCTATTCAGAATGCCAAAGAGATTGAAAATGCTGCCATCGATCCTGAAGACAAATGGCATCAAAGAGCCCAACAGCTAAAGGTTACCTGCTAGATTGAATTTTAAGTGTGTTTCAGGGGATACTGGTGAATATAATAGTGACTGCCTTCATATACTTAGGGGTTTATTCTTATGCCTGAGAATGGTTATCCACCTTCCTATGTGTAAGACTACCTTCTGCCCTGATGGATCATTTTTCCAAAGATACTATTTTCTAGAGGAAAACAATCATCACCTTTCCAAAATAATGCCTAATTCTGTGCTGCTCCTGAGTCTGTTTCTTTTAGGACTTGGCAATTACACAAAATCCCTAGGTGATGGAGGGACACTATCCCTAAAGATAGGTAGGAATCCCTAGAGCCTCACTGAACCCTCATTTTCAGAATGTGGAAGCCTACCAACTGGTAATTTAGCATAATGACATCCATTTTAGCCATAGGTTTACTCATTTGAAACCATAATGCAATTTTAGGGAAGTTGGCTATGAATTGTCCCCACTGGCTGTTTGTCTGGGAGAGACAGACAGAAAGAGCACTAGCAGCTGATGTCGTTTTGAACTGGTGTATGGAGTTAGGTGGAATAGTCACTCTTTGAGCAGGTTTTATCACTGCTTTAAAAGGGATGAGCCCTTTGAAATCACCAAGTCTATAGAGCCTTTTGGCATCATCAGTTAAACTATGTACAATGATAAAAGTAACAATAAAAAAAAGTTCATCCCAGCTTCAGAGAAGTTAGAAAAGAGGAACAGTCTAAACCATCTCTTTGGGTGATGGAGAAAGGTAGTTCTAAACAGGGCTTCAAACTTGTTTGTTCTGCTTTGAACCCCTGCTGAGAATTTGCGTTTCCACCCCAGATATACTGAGTCAGAATCTACATTTTAAAAAGATTCCCAGGTGATTCTTATATATAATAAATTTTTAGAACCAATGCTCTACTAGTGCTTCTCAGAATTGTCCCTAACCAGCAGCATTAGCATCGCCTAGAACTTGTTAGAAATGAAAATTCTCAGGAGGGATTCGAACCAGAATGAACGGATTTGAAGCCCTGGTTCTAAATACCAGCTATGACCACGTGACCAGTTGCAGAAATAAAGACTGTAATTGTTTTTAGTATTTCTTCCTTGTTTTGTTATACATGTATGTGTATGTGTGTGTCGCATAAAGTCCATATACATCTGCATATGCATCAGTGGTCCCATAAGGTTATAATAGAGTTCAGCAGTTACTCTGTGTTTGTCATAACCTCCACGTACCATTTAAATTTTCAGTGTGGTGGGTATATCTTACTCCACCAACTGGATTAAACTTCGTGCAGGTAAGGACAGCACTTGTTGTTGTTAGTTGCCGTTGAGTTGATTCTGACTCATAGTGATCATAGAAGATAGAGTAGAACTCCCTCATAGATTTTCCTATGCTGTAATCTTTACCAGAAGGAGCCCTTGGCTGCTAACCAAAAGATCAAACGATTCGAACCTACCAGCTGCTTTGCCAGAGAAAGATGTGGCAGTCTGCTTCCATGAAGATTACAGTCTTGAGGAGGCGGGGCCAAGATGGCAGAGTAGTCAGACACTTCCAGTAAACCCTCTTACAACAAAGACCCGAAAAAACAAGTGATTCAATTATACATGGCAATCTGGGAGCCCTGAACATCAAAGGCACAGTTGAGGAACCAGACTGAGTGGCAGTGGGAGGGAGAGATGGTTCGGAAGCAGCGAGGAGTTCCTAGACCTGACCTGGCAAGAGCCTAAGTCCTTCAGGTGTGATCAGCTTGGGGGTGAGCGGTGAGGCAGGCAAGCAGCTGTGCTCAGGAGGCATGTTTTCTGCACTGGGAGAGACCCAACACCAGAGAGTCTACTCGGCCACCCAGAACCAGTGCGAAGCAGCCCTTATCGGCAAAAGATAGGTAATTGTGTATGGTCTACCACGCGGATCAAAAACACCCCCCCTTAGGGAAAAAACTCTCTCCCGTTTACCTCCCCGCTCCCTGCTCTGCACTGGGTCCCTGACCGGCTTCAGCAACTGTCGAGTCCCCTGGGCCAGAAGTAGGATGCATCACAAGCCCGGACCCATTCTCCCTGTCTTGGAGAGTGAACAAATTAACAAACAGGAAAAAATAAATTGCCAGCTCCCGTAAGCCAGGAACCCAGGGTAGGCACAGTGTCTTTGCCTAGGCACAGGCATAAGGGATCCACAGACTTTAAGTGCCTTTCCCCTGCATAGACTTGTGTGGGCCCATCTCAACAGCGTAGGCCCTCATTACTGCAGTACAACAGGGTATATACCAGAACTCTAACTTCAACTGTTTCAGCTGTAAAGTGGCAGGTTCTTGCCATATGACACTGCTCTGCCCATTAAGCAAGGTCTTCATCTACCTACATCAGGGGCCTGAGGACTGGTGGCTCCACCCACGCCACCTAGCCATGAAATAAGAGGTGCGCCCCAGTCCTTACAGCCAACAGCATTAAGTGCTAATAGTCCGGCTGCAAAACCCACCCACCTACACACTCTAGGGAACAGGGACACACCTTCCACCTGGACACTCAGGGGCAGCTGTCAGCCCCCTGCCTTGCTCAGAGTGTGTCCCCCTGCTGCAGTCAGATGTCTGTGCCTACACCAATCACCCATGCCTGTCTAGGACTGTAAGTGAGAGCCTACACCACACAGTTGGCAGCTATCTACCTGGGCACCTGAGCTGAATCCATACAGGAGGAGTAGGCGGACTCCTGAGCTCACATACCTAGTAACAGATCTAACCACCTGGTGAGAGGACATTAGAGCTTCAAAGGTGCCAATAATTAAACTAGCTCATATGAGCAGCATATTTGGGGATATCAAAACAAAACAAGAAGCGAGGACATAGTAAGCAAATGTAAAATAAATAAATATAATAACTTACTGATGGCTCAGAGACACAGTCAATATCAAATCACATAAAGAGGCAATCCATGATGGCTTCAGCGAGCTCCCAAAATAAAGAATCTAGAAATTTTCCAGAGGAGGAAAATTTCTTGGAATTACCAGAGGCAGAATACAAAAGATTAATATACAGAACTCTTCAAGAAATGAGGAAGGAAATTAAGCAAAACGCAGAACACGCAATAGAGGAAATTAAAAAGATTAGAGAAGAGCATAATGACAAATTTAACAGTCTGCAAGAATCCATAGAGAGACAGCAGTCAGAAATCCAGAAGATTAACAATAAAATGTCAGAATTAGACAATTCAATAGAAAGTCATAGGAGGAGAATCGAGTCAATGGAAGTCAGAATTAGTGAGATTGAAGATAAAGCACTTGACACCAACTTATTTGAGGAAAAATCAGATAAAAGGATTAAAAACAATGAAGAAACCCTAAGAATTATGTGGGACTCTGTCAAGAGGAATAACCTACGAGTGATTGGAGTACGAGAACGGGGGAGGATGACAGAAAATACAGAGAATTATTGAAGATTTGTTGGCAGAAAACTTCCCTGATATCGTGAAAGATGACAAGATATCCAAGACGCTCATCGAACCCCACATAAGGCAGATCCCAAAAGAAAGTCACCAAGATGTATTATAATCAAACTTGCCAAAACCAAAGATAAAGAGAGAATTTAAGAACGACTAGGGATAAACGAAAAGTCATCTACAAAGGAGAGTCAATAAGAATAAGCTCAAGCTACTCAGCAAAAACCATGTAGGCAAGAAGGCAATGGGATGACATATATAAAGCCCTGAAGGAAAAAAACTGCCAGCCAAGAATTCTATATCCAGCAAAACTGTCTCGCAAATATGATGGTGAAATTAGGGCATTTCCAGATAAACAGAAGTTTAGGGAATTTGTAAAAACGAAACCAAAATTATAAGAAATACTAAAGGGAGTCCTCTAGTTAGAAAATCAATAATATCGGATAACAACCCAAGACTAGAACACAGGAGAGAGCAACCAGATATCAACCCAGACAGGGAAGTCACAAAAGTAAATCAAAGCTAAAACACTGAAAATAGGGAAACAGATGTCAATACGTAAAAGATGACAAGATTAAAACAAAAAAGAGGGACTTTAGACATAGATTTTTCATATGGAGAGGAAGTCAGGCAATATAAACAAATAAAAGACTGGTATAAACTTAGAAAAATAGGGGTAAATATTAAGGTAACCACAAAGGAAACTAACAATCCTACAAGTCAAAATAAAAAACTGGAAGAATATAAAGACTCAGCAAACACAAAATCAACAACAATGAAAAAGATCAAAAGAAAATACATAAACAAAAATGTCCCAGCACAGAAAGTTAAGTGGAATAAAGAAACTGTGAACAACACACAAAAAACGACATCAAAATGACAGCACTAAACTCATACCTATCAATAATTACACTGAATGTAAATGGACTAAATGCACCAATAAAGAGACAGAGAGTGGCAGACTGGATAAAAAAACACGATCCGTCTATATGCTGCCTACAAGAGACACATCTTAGACTTAAAGACACAAACAAATTAAAACTCAAAGGATGGAAAAAAATATATCAAGAAAACAACATTCAAAAAAGAGCAGGAGTGGCAATATTAATCTCTGACAAAATAGACTTTAAAGTAAAATCCACCACAAAGCATAAGTAAGGACACTATATAATGATTAAAGGATCAATACACCAGGAGGACATAATGATAATAAATATTTACACACCCAATGATAGGGCTCCCAAACACATGAAACAAGCTCTAACAGCACTGAAAAGAGAAATAGACAGCTCCACAATAGTAGTAGGAGACTTCAACACACCACTTTTGGTGAAGGACAGAAAATCCAGAAAGAAGCTCAACAAAGACACGGAAGAGCTAAATGCTACAATCAACCAACTTGATCTCATAGACATATACTGAACACTCCACCCAACAGCAGCTAAGTATACATTCTCTTCCAATGCAC